CAATCTGCCATAAAAGAAAAAAGAAAAAAAAAAAAAACAGTTTTTTTTTTATGTAGTTGCAAAGAAGATGAATACAGGAGTTAGTCCATGTACATAACACTGTATTGTATGTTACAATAAGAAGAAATTTTAGAGGTACAGCTAAATGAGTGATGTTGTGGGAACTGTCTTGTTCCTCATCGGGTATGTCATCGAGCAAGCTGTTAATTGCAAAGCATCATATTGAATCATCGGACACGTCAGATTCACTTCTCTAAGACTCCACAGGATTGGCTCTAGTATATATATGGAACATCAGGCTTTGATTCAGATACAGGTGGAGCTTTCTTGTTTGCATTGCGAGCATTCTCCTCGACATCTTCCACTTGCTCATTGACTTTATCATGCAATCCATGAATCAAGGAATAAACAAAAGGCATAATGAAGATACAGAGCATTCAACCAAGAAGTACTGAAATTAGGAAGAGTTTACTTCAATGCACCCTCCCTAGCCTGTCATATCAATACAATATGCATGGTTTCTAGAGGGGGTAATTTTAATAGTAAGATTTTACATGACTGCACCAATGGCGTGGTGTAATTTGTTTCAAGCTAATCAACAGGTTATCATGGTCAAGAACAGTGTAACTAGTGCATCCAATAAAATGCAATATATGGGGTGCACAATGGAAAAACAATAAAATGCAAAATACATTTAATATCCTCCTCTTTCTTTTTTTATTTAATTGTTTAGTAGATTTAAGGCAGATTATCTATACAAAAGAAAACATAATTTAGTAACAATAAGCAAATCATATATTAAGCATTAAAAATGGTTCCCAAATCAAGCACAGGAATCTTATTCCATCCATGTCACCTCCAGAGTGGTACAGACATTTAATTGTTAAAAATTTTAAACAAAAAGAAGAAACACAGAAATTGTATGAATATTAAGGATATCAACATATTTACCTCTCCTGCCGTACATGATATTAACCAGATCTTTTTCAATGCGTTGTACAAGCTCAGGCTGCAAATTTTATCAAAATAGGCATAAGTAGATAAAAAGAAAAAAAGAAGTGCATGTTTTGTTAATTATTGAAAGGTAACAGTTATAGATACATTTAGATCTGGTTCTCTCTGAAATCTTCTTTTTCGTGCATCCTGATGAGCTGAATTTATATACATATTAATGTTGAATTTTTACTTTGACATTATTAATATTTGGAAGAATTTTATAAGATTTTACTTGGGTTTCATTTTTTGTGCAGAAAAAGACTTGGATATATAATAATAGGAGTTTTTGGAATTAATTGAACATCTTTTGGAAGTTGACGGACTGAATTGCAAGAAGAAAGAGACTTTCTTTGGGATCTAAATGAATGAATCTTAAGTTTCTAGATCTCAGTGCTCATCGTACAAAACCTGGATGATCAGATCTGAAATTTTACCATTGAAGAAATTGCAAAAGAGGCCAAAAACCCGACACGGGTGTGGTGTCAACACTATGCGTTACGCGTCCAGATTCTGTTTCCTGTTATGTGTCGACACATAAATAAAGATGTTGGCACTATGTGTTCAGCATCCAAAAAAATCCCAATTTCCTATTTTTTCGAGTCCTACTTCTCTCCTAACATGTTTCTTAAACTCTATAAATACCCATTCAAAAATCAGTTTTGGGGGCTTTTGAGAGGAAACCAAGAGAGACGGCTACAAGGAATTCAACAACGAAAGGAGATCAAGACTTGAGATTTTATATCGTCAAACTGGTTTTATTTATCTTTAAATTTTATTTTATGATATTGGATACTCATATATTTTCATCATAAAATTGTTGATTCTCTTTTCTTTAATCATGAACTGATTTGCCATCTAAGACTACTATGTAACTTGATCAATTTAATATAGAGTTTTATGTTTTTTATATTTTCAAGATTTATTATTTTATGTAGAGTATATATTATTGTTCTTAATGCTTTTTAATGATTGGCCACCATTTGAAGAGCATAATTGAGACCGAAAGGAGATTTTATGCAATAACTTCTAGTAATATATACCATGAATTGAACAAAAATCAATGGACTTAATTTTCCAGGTAAACTAGGGAATGTCACAGAACATAATACATCTTTATCTATTTAAATTCACATAAAAATATAATCAATGTTTTTGGATCCAGCCCGGCCCGGCCGGTTGAACCGGTTGAACCGGACCCAGACCTGAAAACGGGCCGGTTGAATACTTCAACCCGTTTAAGCAAATGGCCCGTTGAAACCCGT